GGAACCCATGCTGGAGCAGGTGGATGCATGAAGGAGGCTGTGACCCCATGGCAGGCGCAAGATGGTGCAGGGTCCTGCTGGGGACCTGCAACCCGTGGAGAGGGAAGCCCACACTGGAGCAGGTTTTTCCGGGGTAGGACTTGTGGTCCCTGTGGGGGACCCACAGTGGAGCAGTTCATTTGTGAAGGACTGCATCCCATGGAGAAGTGACCCACGGGACAACAGTTTCATGAAGAACTGTTGCCCTTGGGATGGACTCATGTCAGAGAGGTCTGTGAAGGACTGTGTCCCGTGGGAGGGACCCCACAGGAAGCAGGGGGAGGACTCCTCTCCCTGAGCAGTGGTAGAAACAACTGACCGTAACCCGCATTCCCCATCCCCCTGCACTGCTGGGGTGGAGGAGGGAAAACATGGAAGGAAGGAGGGGTGGGGGGAAAGTGTTTTTAAGACTGTTTTATTTCTCACTCTTTGGTTCTTATTTTGTTAGTAATAATTTTAAGTAATATCCCCACTTGAGTCTGTTTTACTTGTGAAGGTTATCAGTAAGTGACCTCTCACAGCTGTTAACTCATGAATCCTTAGGTGTTATTTTTCTCTCCTCTGTCCACTTGCAGAGGCAGAGTGAGAGAGTGGCTTTAGTGGGTACCTGGCATCCACATCCAGTCAGCATCAACCCACTACACTTGGACAGGGGCACTCTCTGCTGGGTTAAGAACTGACTGCATGGCTGGGCTCAGAGAGCAGTGGGGAATGGTGGTGTATCCAGTTGGTGACCAGTCACTAGTGGGGTTCCCCCAGGGATCATTTTTGGCCCCAGTCCTGTTTAATATCTTTATTGATGATCTGGATGAGAGGATCGAGTCTACCATTAGCAAATTTGCAAATGACGCCAAGTTGAGGGGGAATGTTTATCTGTTGGAGAGTAGGAGGGCTCTGCAGAGGGACCTGGACAGGATGGGCTGAATCCAATGGGATGAGGTTCAACAAGACCAAGTGCCAGGTCCTGCATTTTGGCCACAACAACCCCCTCCAGCACTACAGACTGGGCACAGAGTGGCTGGAGAGCAGCCAGGCAGAAAGGGACCCTGGGGGTACTGATTGACAGCAGGCTGAACATGAACCAGCAGTGTTCCCAGGTGGCCAAAAAGGCCAAGGACATCCTGGCCTGTATCAGGAAAGCTTTTTTGAGCGACTGGAATTAAATCTTCTGGAAAGTTTCTTCTATACTTACAGTCTGGAATATCCCTTGGGTCAGTTGGGGTCAGTTGTCCCAGCTATGTCCCCTCTCAACTTCCCATGCACCCCCAACCTAGTCACTGGTGGGGTGGTACAAGAAGCAGAAAAGGCCCTGGTTTTGTGTAAACCCTGCTCAGCAATCATAAAAACACCCCTATGTTATCAACACTATTTTCGTCAGAACTCCAAAACACTGCCCCATACCAGCCACTGTGAAGAAGATTACCCCCAGACAAAACTAGCACATTACCTCACACTACTTTCTACTTGTCCATCATTAGATTATGATATCTTTGTGGAAGTAACCTGTAGAGGTATGGCTATTTAACAGAGAGTTCCTCCATCTTCCAGGGAACTAATGTCCAGTAGTGTGTCAGGATAAACTTAAATATGGTTCAGCACATTTGATTCTTTTTGCTTAACTCTTGCATGAGTATCAGTGCTGGCATAGTTCTGTTCCAAAGCTTCCTACTGATGGACTGTTTATGAGGGTAGCAGAACTGTCTAGTAATTTAGTTTCATCCAGAAAAGTTGAGTGGGATGATTTCAGTCTAACCATAATTAGTGAAGGGAAATGAACTTTGTTTACCTCTTTATTATTAAAAAATGACTACATGATTGTAATACAATCTCTTATGATGTGGGGTTTTTTCTTTCTTTTTTTTCCCCTTAAGGGTCCTGGTATGTTTCATCCCTATGATAGTGGGCACATAGCAATGACTTACACAGGTCTCTCATGTCTGGTTATTCTTGGAGATGATTTAAGTCGAGTAAATAAAGACGCCTTACTGGCAGGACTGAGAGCTCTCCAGCTGGAGGATGGAAGGTAAAAGATATAAAATATCTTACAACTCTCTGGAAGATTTAATAGAAAACCCAAATGTAGAATTAAACATGATACACACTTTTATAATATTTTCTTTCTATCTAAAAATATTTTTGTGGGCATAAGCAATACAACAACATACTAGTTTACAGGACTAAAGAGCACTTAGTTCAGAGTTGCTTTCCTACTTGAGAATGATGGATGTTTGCTTACAACTGTAGAAACATGCTATTGGAAAGTTAATGGTTTGGCTTGTGTCTTGGGGGTAGTTGTTTTTTGATTGTTTTTTTTCTTATATCTTTTAGATAAGCGAGGTTTTCTCTCTATTCTCTGTTTTTGCAAGGCCCTGGTGAAGCACTATTAAGATGATGTTTGCTCTGCTTTGTGGGAGGATGAGCTTTATTTAATTTTGAGAGATTCAGTCCATTAATATACAGAATTAATTAACCTATAACTTATAATAGGAATATAATATTATTAAAATACATTGTGTGATTCATCCTTTTTGCATGCATTTTTTTAAAAGATGGTATATACTCTTCTGTTTGGTTTTTATGTAGGCTTGAGCTGGTAGCTAATGAAAACTTCTGCTAGGTTACATGATCTGTCTGTGTACTTAGATTTTACTGAATATTTTTTTTAAAGAGTACTTTAAGAAATGTATAGCTATAGAAATCTTATTTCTGAAGAAATTATGTTTCACTTCATAATGAAATTGTTGTCCCCATTTACTAGTTACGAAAACCTTTGTTTTGGTCAAATGGCTTTGTATTGCCTAAAAGTCTCCTAAAATTAAAACTTATTTTTTAATGGAGCATAACTATTAAAATGCAGTGTTACATGTGTAGGTTTAAAAAAAAAAAAACCACCACCAAAACCAAACACCTCCCCCCTCTAGAATGTTCTAAATGTAAGTGGCGAATTTGAACTAGATGATCTACCATTTTATGTTACTTGTAGCAACAAACTGACTTTAATGAGCTAAATTCTAATGTATGTATGCATGAATTTGTTGGTCTGCTTGTGTTTGCAGCATCTTCTAGCATGTGGGGTGCTTCTGCTACATCTTTATGCATTCCCATTATATGTTGTACCATTTTTGTTGTTAAAGTTTATTCAAGAGGAAGGAGTTAGGAATGAGTCGCTCCAAACCTGCCAGCATCTTGAAGTGGTTGCTTGTCATTGTTCCTGATTACAATAATAAACTGCACACAGTTAATCTGTTCTAGGTGTTTGTATCATGTATGGTTTTAACATACAGAATATACTTGACCCTGTATTTTATATTCCCTGCTTAAGAGTGCCAGCTATCCATCAAAGGGAAAAGAGAGTGCTTTGCACCTCTCTGGGGTAGAATTGCTACTTGGGCAGAAGTCAACTTCTAGTACAGCAGACATTTTCATACCTATGAAAACAATTTTTACTGCACCAAAGAAGAAGGATGCACAAAGGCCAGAACCTGACCTAACATCTTGTCCAGATAGAAACAGCAAGCGAGTTGGTTGAGGGAAAGAGAAACTTTTCTGGTGTTACCCCAGTATATTAGACTTAGTTTTTATTTCTTCACCCAAATCTTTTATTAACTAAAAAAATTATAATTATATTGTCTCTTTTTAAATGTCATGAATAAATGTGTGTATTTGCATTTCTAGTTTACTTTGGCTTAATATAATTCAAAGCCCCTAGATAAGATACAGTGCTTGAAAGACTGTCCTATATAAAAATATTCTAACTAGCTTTTCAAACCAAATAGAGGCTTATCAGGAAGCAAATCACAGCATCAGTCATCTTTGTAAAGGTCCTGAGGGAACACTGCATTGTATCTAGATAACCTAAATATAACAACTTTAAAATCTTTTCAGAGTTTGCAAAGAATCTAACCATTAGAAAAAAAAATGGATTGCAAGTAATTTTCACCATTTATATTAGAAATTGTAATGATAACAATTATCTTTATACATACATGGGAATTTGTTCCTAAAGTTGGTCAGGAAAGCCATGTGAGCTATGAAGATTTCTAGGGAGGAAAAGAATTCTGCTAAGAAAAGTAGATTCTACAATGGTAACTCATATCAATGCATACTGTGACACGTGAAAGAATGTAAACATTAACATATTTGGATAAAGATCAGTGTCATGACATTACTGGAAATAAGGTTATTCAAGCCCCTAAATGTTAATAGTTCTTAGCTTGGTTAGAATCACATCTTCTGAAAAGAAAATCTAATGTAGGTTTAGGTTACATTCATGTAAATACTATAAATAGAAATAGCCAACTCATTTTGAAAGTAAAAATAATGCAATTCCTAAAATGCTTTTTATACTTTCTAATGTAATGGGCTATAAAACCTATAATGAAAGAAACTTTTCTTTCAGTTTCTGTGCTGTACTGGAAGGTAGCGAGAATGATATGAGGTTTGTGTACTGTGCTTCCTGCATCTGCTACATGCTTGATAACTGGTCAGGCATGGATACAAAAAAAGCAGTAGACTACATTAGAAGAAGTATGGTGAGTATTCCCAAAGTGTTATTTCTCAATGCATTTCAAGCTAATAGTTCTTTACTATGACTAAAAATCTATCCATCCAAATAGAAATATTACAGTAATTTTATTTTCTATTCCTACTTCAATGAGTTGAAAATGAAAAGAACATTCCTTTTTGTATTTATATTTTCATTGTAATGTTTGTATTAGCAAAAGTAATCGTATATGTTTACTGCAATTTAAATTAAATCTGATCTTTTTTCATTGAAATTCAATTTAAATTTGAAAGCAAGTTTTCAAAAATGAGACCTGAAGTTCCTATAACTTTAAAAAATGCATAAGTAAAACATTGCACCACTAAGATCTTCAAATTTCAATGAGCTCTAGACTTGCTTGTTAAAATCATATACAGAATCAATGGAAAAACTAATTATTGAGATCAAGTCAAGTTTATTAAATGTTCCCAGTCCATTACATCCCCTTACAGCACAGTAAGGATCTAAAAAAGTCATAAAAACTGCCTGTATTGAAACAACATTGATTTGTGTCAAGAGCTTTTTGAGACATAGGTTCAGAATTTAACTAGATTAAAATGGTGGAATGGTCTGATAATAATTTTTCTAATAAATTGATAAATTATAATGTCTGTAAAAGTGATTTGCTTCTAAAGTAACTGGTTTGTGGATTTTTTCTTTAGTCTTATGATAATGGCCTGGCACAAGGAGCTGGACTGGAATCGCATGGTAAGAATGTTAACATGTTCTATACCCATTTTAAAGACTGAAATTGTAAAATGCTGTAAGAAGTTCAGAGTATGTCATGCTTTTCCTTCTTTTCTGGTTTTAAGGAAGTGGGAAGAAGAGGAGCAAATCCAAAACATGCCTCAGAATATGTCTTCTTCTCTAAATTCCACCTTAATATTAGACCAGATGGGCTCTTAATATATCAACTCTGTAATTCTTACCTCATCAATGTTTTTTTGACAAATGTTGGCTGTAGTTCTTGTCTCTTGCTCACAGAGCATCCTACCACTGTTATTCTGTGGATTTATCTGAAGAGATCTTGTGCAATGCACTTGATAATTTCCAGTTTCAGCAGATATCAGTAAAGCCTAGAAACATTTATTCTGCTAGATTAAAGTATCCACTGGGGACTCTAATCTTGAAGTTGCAGTTAATTTTTGTAAATAGGTGGTAAGGGATTTTAGGAGCAGTTGCCTCCTAGAGTAGCACCAGCCCGTCTTCCTTCTGTCTGGAGCCCAGCCCCGTGTGCCTGGGGACCCAGGGTCTCTGCCCAGGTTGCGAGACTGGGCTGCTGCTTTCCTGCATGCAGGTTTAACCAATAACAAAGTTGAGCATCTATCCAACAGACACACACATGCAGGACACACATCTTAAGATCTCTGTAAAAAGGATGAAGTGTTCTCAGACCAGTTAATGTTCATCACAAAAAGCTTTCTGGCAGACCACTATGTACTGATTAGGAACATAGTTTTCTTCGGATGTTCTTTTTCATAGATTCAAAGTCAGTCTAATTCATATGCTGTTCATTGATGACATAAGCCTGCATATCATGTAGTGATAGGACAAGAGGTAATGGCTTCAAACTGAAAGAGGACAGGTTTAGATTAGATGTTAGGAAGAAATTCTTTACTGTGAGGGTGGTAAGGCACTGAAACAGGTTACCCAGAGAAGTTGTGGATTCCCCATCCCTGGAAGTGTTCAAGGTCAGGTTGGATGGAGCTCTGAGCAACCTGGTCTAGTGGAAGGTGTCCTTACCCACGTCAGGGGGTTGGAACTAGATGATCTTTAAGATCTCTTCCAACACAAACCATTCTATGATTCTATATTGGAATGAAGAGTATGAACAAAATTTTATAATATTACACTTGTCTTGTTTTTAATGCCTGATCTAACCTGTTTAACGTTAGCTAATATGTTACTATTCTGCCCTGTGGTATAGCCACACTTTCAGGCCTAGGTTAATATAGAATACGGTCAGTTTATATATTGTGTAGTTCTAAACAATATTCAGTCTTCAGAATGCCCTACACATGCAGTGTTGATTGTTAAGGGATGTTAGGAATGGTTGCCTGCTCCAGCAGTTGTTGCCCAGGACTCCTGCCTGCCTGGTTGCTGAAGCCCAGTCCAGGGACTTGGGGCCTCTCCCCAGGCTGAGGGACACAGTTGCCACTTTCCTATTTGCAAGTTCAACCAATAACAAAGCTGAGCATGTATCTCAGATACACACAGAGGACACTGACAAGGTTACCTCCTCAGTGGTACCCTATTCTCCTGCCCTGTTTGGGGCAGCGGGGGAGGTAAACAAGTTGGAAGTGAAGTTGAGCCTGGGAAGAAGGGAGGGGTGGGGGAAGGTGTTTTTAGATTTGTTATTATTTCTCATTATCATATTCTATTTAACTAGCAATAAATTAAAATAATATCCCCAAGTAGAATGTGGTTTGCCCATGATTGTAATTGGTGAGTGATCTCCCTGTCCTTTTCTGGACCCACAAGCTTTTCATATTATTTTCTCCCCTTGTTCTTTTGAGGAACGGGGTATGATAGAGCAGCTTGATGGACATCTGGTGGCCAGCCAAGGTCAACCCACTCCACTTACCAGTTGCTGTCATGGGCAAAACAGACTTGACTTAGGGAACATTCATGTAATTTCTTGCCAGTTGTTGTGGTTTTACCCCAGTAGGCAGCTAAGCCCCACACAGCTGCCCACTCACTCCTCCACCAGTGAGATCGGGGAGAGAATTGGAAGGGTAAAAGCTAGAAAACTCATGGGTTGAGATAAAGACAGTTTAATAGGGAAAGCAAAAGCCTCTCGCACAAGCAAAGCAAATAGAAGGAATTCATTCACTGCTTCCCCATGGGCAGGCAGATGTTCAGCCATCTCCAGGAGATCAGGGCTCTATCACGCATAACATTTACTTGGGAAGACAAAGACCATCATTCCAAATATCCCCCCCTTCTTCCTTCTGCCCCCAGCTTTATATGATGAGAATGATGTCATATGGTCTGGAATATCCCTTTGGTCAGTTGAGGTCAGCTGTCTCAGCTGTGTCCCTTCTCAACTTCCCATGTGCCTCCAGCCTAGTCACTCCAGGGAGCAGCATGAGAAACAGAGAAGGCTTTGACTCTTTGTAAGCACTGCTCAGCAATAACAAGAATATGGGTGTGTTATCAACACTGTTTTGGTCCCAAATTCTAAGCACAGCACCATAGGGACTGCTATGAAGAAAATTAACTCCATACTAGCCAAACCACAGCAGCTCGGGGGGGATGGAGAGTAGGGGGTTATGGACAATTCATACCACTGTCGCTCCTTTCTCCTCACACCTTTTCACTGATCCAGCACTGGTCCTTCCCACATGCTTCAGCCCTTGAGGATAAGCATGCTCCTGCATGGGCTTTCCACAGCCTGCAGCTTCCCTTCAGAACATATCCACATCTGTTCTGGCATAATCCTTTACTCTGTCTGCAGGGGGACAACGTGCTTCATCATGGTCTTTTCCACACCAAAAAGTGCCCGGAGCAGCTCCTCCCTCTCTTTCTTCACTGACCTTAGTGTCTGCAGGGTTGTTTTTCATGCTTTTTTTTTTCTTCCTCCTCTCTCACAATTGCTGTGCCGTGTTTTTTACTGTTTCATAAATATGTTATCACAGAGGTCATAGAATCATAGAATTGTTTAGGTTGGAAAAATTGATAACACTGGTGTCTTATCAACACCCTTCTAGATACCAATGCAAAGCACAGCACTGTGAGGGTTACTATGGGGAAATGAAAACCAGTTCAGCCGGACCTGTATTAGGGAGGGGTTCAAGACATACTGAATCTTGAAAACATGACACCATTAAAAGCTTAACAAAAACCAATATTTATTACCAAGAGGTGGTCAACAAAACAAACAAACCCAAAAGGGAGGAAGGAGGAGAGAAATAAGCCCCCAGCATGACCTCCCCAGTTACCCAGTTGTTGCCCATAAAGTTATCTTACCGACCTAGCATGCCTATAATTACCCATAGCAGAAGCTGCATCCTTGGAGAGTCAGTAAGTTCACAAATTGGCAGGCGTCCCCACCAAAAGGCAACATTGTCCTTGATATGAAGTTAGCTCCCCCACCAAGAAAACACTATCTGCTTTTTATACAATTAATTGAGTGACCACGACCTCCCAGGTGTGGCCAGCACCGCCCAGCCAGAGGCCCTCAGTCCCACCTCCTTGGTTATATAAGTGCATCTCTTCTGTGCACGTGTGGCTTTCCCTGTACCTGTGTACTGTACTCAGGGGGGTCTTTTCCAAATGAGTCTGGGGGTGTCCTTCATCCTCCTCCTCCTCAATCTCTCCTTCAAGCAACCTTGGAGGACAACTAGCCAATCACAGAATACCAATTAAAACAGTTTATACAGAAGTTCTCCCTCCAAGGACGAATTCACTGTTTTATCAGTGAACTTGGCAGGGAGAATATAAACTACTGCAGGTGGCTGGGGCCAAACACAGACCAAAAGTATCAGCATAAATTCACCCTGGTACAGGACCCAATACAATCTCCACCCCTTATTCCATATCATTTATGTCATACTCAGATCCCATATCCGACTATTTCCCATGCTTGCACAGATCTTGTTCTATGGCCTTCTTCCACCCCTCCAGATTTTGGACTCCATTCTGTTGGGACGGGTACTCAGGGCAGGAGAAGGAATCAGTCATTGGGCATTGACAGCAGCCTGGCTCGGGTCATTGTCACACTCTCCTTGCTCCTTGCAGAATTCACTCTTCATTGTCCAATGACTTTACTTCCTGCAACATACAACTTAGAACACAGATTATCTTTCCCCCAAGGTTAAATCTCCTTGAGGCACACACCAGGTCTCCCCATCTTCCTGCATTACCCACCAGGTACACCCTGGTCCATGAGCAAAGAAAATCCCACAAATGGGTTTGCCTTTTCTCATGGGAGGAGAAACCCACACTGACTTCCCCAGCTACTTCCCCGTGTGTGTAGAGGTTTTGTTTGGGCAGGACCAGGGCGGTTGGCAGATCCCCTGGTGTTGACCAACCAAGTGGCTTCTGCTAAATTTGCCTCTCAATGCTTCCATGTCCCAATACCTAATGCTCTTAACATAGTCTTCAACAGTCCATTATACCTCTCAAATTTTCCAGAGGCTTGTGGGTGATAAGGGATGTGATAGATCCACTCGATATCATGTTTCTTTGCCCAAGAGCTTATAAGATTATTCTGAAAGTGAGTCCCATTATCTGATTCAGTTCTCTCTGGGGTCCCATATCACCACAGAATGTGCCTCTCGAGGCCCCCCTGCTACCAAGACCTTGCCAAATACAACCCATATACCTTTTAGAGATAGTTCACTAGTGAAGACACAGGCATGACATTCTGTAAACTCACAAGCACATGCACATTTGCAAATTCCCCAAGCACCAGCATGACCCCTCTGTCCATATGTGTCACTCAACATTACTGGGACAGGCATATTCTTTTAAAGATCCTTGGTAGAATGAGAATTGGTCACAGGGTTGTAGTTATACTTAGAGCTTTTGGGGAAATACAGACACTCAGCTCCCCCCCATCCCCAGCAGCCAGCACATGGACTGTGACCTGCAGGCCTGCTCCAGCCATTGGTGCTGAGCCCCTCACTTTTCTCACTAAGTCTGGTCTCTCCCAGTAGCTGCTTTTTTGCCATGCACCTCATTCCTGCCTCAGTGACTGGTGGTCA